TTGTACCATGATTTGTTTGGCACAGTCTGGCGTCAGACATGTGTGTGCGACGAATCTGACAGCGCACTACCCATGATGCGCTTTACCTTAAGATATGTTCCTGCGACTTTAACATGTAGCAAGGGATATAGCAATCTGATATCGGTAAACACTGCAGTCCATTAGCTCAATGTCTGCACGATAGCTGTTTGTATTCGTTTTGAGGAAAAGCTCTGGCATGATCTACTAGCACCAGGACGTGACGGAGTAAATAAACGGTGGGATCAAACGGACGCACAATTAATTGTGTATGAACCCAAGCGCCTTCTCTAGGTTGGGGGCGCTATGGTTGCGGTCAGTTATTCTTCTCTTACAATTAGCGAAATGCTTCTAAAAGTTTCGAAGCGCCTCTGTAGAGGAAGCGTTACTCTTTGTCTTTCCGTGGAGGACGCGCTTTGACAACACAGTGATGATACTTATCAGTCTGTATACACACAACCGCCCTAGATTAGATGCCGTTTCTTCTCTAGCTCATTTCATCTGTAAGTCCCTTAACGAGAAAACCAAATATGTGCATTCTGCTTTTCTGGACTATTCTTCCGCTTTCGACTGTGCCCCGTTCTATTATACTTAATAAGCTACAATCTTTTGGCTGGCCCGCTTCTCTTCTTGAATGGCTTGCTGATTACTTCTCGCAAAGATGTTAAATTGGGAAGAAGACAGTCAACCGCATCACTCAATAGCACGGTGCTGTTCTATCACCCTATCTTTTCTCGACTTATATCAGTAACTTACCTACTACTCCCCCTGTTCGACATTTGAAGTATGCTGATGATATCGCCATGTCTGTTTCCGTATCTAACCAATCAGAACTGGTTGGATATAACACAAGCCTATCCCACCTCGTTTCATATTCCACTTCATCCGGTCTCAATCTGAATCCCGAAAAATGCCTTGAATGTATTTTTTGCTTTAAACCGTTCCGCATCTCCCTCCGACAATGTCCGGATTCATGGAAAACCGATGAACAGGGTTAGCCATGTGAAGTACTTAGGTGTCACACTTGAAAGTAACCTTCGCTGGTTCTTACATACCCAAACTGTTGCTCGCAAGTTGAAACTTCTCTCCTTTCAGATAAGACTGCGCCACTTCTGTTCTGACTTGTCGGTGATAGACGCTTTTGTTCAACAATATGTCCTCCCTATACCCTGTACTGCTCCCCTGTAATTTTCCCTGGTTTGCTGAAGGTTGATTTCAAGTCGCTGAGGCGTGGCCTCTCAATGATCAGCCGTCTCCCAAGTTCCATTATCTGTTCTGTGTTATGCTGACATTGATGCGTGCTGGAAGTTTACTGGCAATATCCTATCTGATTACACCCATGTGTGCGCATGCAAATTCCACCCTTCCACCTGTTTTAAGTACGAACTTATCCTGTCTCGCATATCCGCAAACAGAAACTCTTTGGTACCCCATCTTGTCCGGATACTAACCGACAAGCTTTGAGCTTTCTAATGCATTTAGTAATCAATTCATGTTCATGTATGTTTCACATTATACCTTTTCACTTGTTTTTACCAGAATTGTAACGGTGTTCTACTTTTGGGCTGAAAGCTAGTTATAACTCGCTAAAGCTTGAATGCAATACAATACAATGAAAAACCAACATCCTGAGCTATGGATCGGTCGGTGGACCTTTAGTGACAAAGGTGGACAGGGCATCCGCAATGAGCAGCGGCGAATATTTCTGCTGTCCTAGGGCAGTGGTTCCGGTGGTAGAAGTCGAAACCCAGCGGGCGGCAGAAACGTGTGAATCCTACAGAACTCGA